ACACACACACACACACACACACACACACACACACACACACACACACACAAAGAAAGAAACATGCAAATGTATTGTTGCATAACTACATTTGACTAACTTCCTTTGTTACAGAGAAAATCCATATGCAAAGAATTCTAGATGATGAACCAAACCTAAAGCGGATGTCGTTGTGAAACTCACCTCCTTCTTTGATTCCATTGATCTTTTCTTTAAATTAATTTCTAAAGAAGCAGTAAAACGGGGTTTGAATAAGCCKGTAGTCGCAAGTCCAGCACCTCATTTGGAGTCTGTCAGTTGTTGTAAGGTGCAGCACATGACCTCAGCTTCAGGGTGAGCAGGATGGAGGGGGGAGTTGTTAACACCCCCCAACCACACACACACACACACATACACACAATCACCCAACACATTCCTTTGCTGAGCTTGAAAAAAAAAAAAAAAAAAAAAAAAAAAAAATCAACCTTGCTGACACAAACACAAAAAATATCCAACTTTTCCACAGTACATGCTACACTGGTGGCGTGATTCATTTCATTCTAAAAACAGGATGATTGTGTTACAARGTGCCAAAGAGAAAAGAATGAGCTCTAATTTGAAGAATCTGGACATACAGTTTGACCATGCTCTATTACAGCGTACAAAACCTGAAAATAGAAGATGTTTACAATTTGTGTAATATAAAGAAAAACTCTGTTCTGAGCTGTTCATCCCAATATTTCCCACTCTAACAAAATTAAAATATCTTAAGTTTTTTAAGATGAAAAATTACTCGAGTTTATCCCAAGCTAAGTAAGTAAGTCACAAAAAACAGAGAAATATTGACCAAAAATAACCACTTCAGATCTTTCAGGTTTCCATTTAKTGACATTAAACAGAGATTCCACCTAATACAAACACAGCTTTGCCTGAGAACAATAAGCTCCTTATAAAAGAAAAAGTATGGCAGTGAATAAAACTGTTTCGTGCTGAACAACCAAACTATCTATTTTTTCCYTCAGTTTGGTTATTCCCATTGAAAAGAGTCTTTAAAGTAAAGTCAGAAGATAAGTCAGCACATGTTTCTGTTTTTATAATGCAGTTTGAATTTTACTGCAGTTAGCAGCTAGTAATACTGCAAAACAGTATAGGCCTACTGGTGAGAMGTAAAATCATGAAGTGTGATGGTACAGCTCAAAATCTAAACARTTAAAATCAATGGTAAATATATGGTAAAAAATATAAGTATTAAGAAGTCTAAAAATTTCCCCAGATTTTGTACAAATAACTCTGTTTTTGAAGCTAGATGTGTGCTCAATCTGTAATWTTTTGTAGACATATCAGGTTGTTTCTTTGTCTTAAGTTTAGTTTTGTAAACTAACACTGATAGCATATATTTATAGAGGATTTTTCYCCTCTTTAGAAGCCTAAAACAGCGGACCTTCTGCGACCATGGATTTGTTTACATCTTGCAGTAAATGGCACCTGATGTTTTTTAATGGAAAAAAAATACAAATACAAATACAAAGGCATGTTACATAAAATATGTCACAAAGTATTCTATGGAGATAGGATTCTATAATAAATACATTTAGTACAAAGAAAACCCACATTGTGATAAATTAAATGTATTCATTGACTCACATACAGCATCTATGTGTTCACAGATTGTTTTGTTTAAACTCTTGGTGGATAGATATAATTTGATTTCCTAAACCAAAGCTGAAAAAGATYAAGATGATGAAAATTTACATTTGTGAATATGAAATTTGTCAAATACTGCATGGTGGTACCACAAATCTGAGGTCCAGCACCAAAGAGCCGATCAGGATCAACATTCCATCAGGGGGCGCTGTTTCCACACGGAACGGGAGCACCGTGTGTGTGCAACCCCAAAATCCTTCCCCCCGGTTGATTGGAAACAGCGAAGTGACGATTGGTTGGTAACTGTGTGGTTCATAATGTCGGGCAGAAAGCCCCGGTCTGTGGCGAACCCTCTGGAGTCTGCAATCACCACACCGAGTGAGAGGATACTGAGGGAATGTCACAATCTCTATGTCGACAGCGAAAACGGTAAATAATCTATAATCTGGATTACAGCGGAGCAGAAACAAACAACAGCGCGGTTATTGTTTCATGATTTTAGCTGCTCTCCGTCCTGCTGAGGCTTGGAGTGTGAAGGTACAAATGAACGSAGCTTGTTGTGCTTGTAAAGTCGTCTGCAGCAGCTGCTGTCAGTGTCAAACACATGACACCGGCCGGGTCCAGAAACGGTTCTGTCTGTGCAGCTGAGCAGGGCAGCGCCCGGTTCCGACTACACAAGCGCGGGCACGACGAATGTCAATGTCAAACACTGTCAACTTAAACAGGTTTCTGCAGATACACTGTGTTCTCAACAATAATCCTGTTGTACAACACGGTTCTGATCACTGCAAAGCCTCTTTATTAATCATTCTTATTTTTAAAAAAAATGTTTGAATTAAAACTATAAAAAAATAAACCAGTTACCTGAACAGAAAAGACAAAAACAAAATGAAAAATAAAAGTTGGGTAAGTTCAGTCCACTGCAATCACTGTTGCCTTTAATATGGAACTCCATACTATACCACTTAAAAAAAACCCTTGTCATGCCTGTGAGTATTTAACCAATGATTATCAAGCAGGACAATGAAGATAAAGCCGCACAACCTGCTTACTGTAGCAAAAAGTTAGGTATTTCTTATATTTGAGTTAAATAGAAAACACATTGTGGTGGTGGTGTGTGTGTGTGTGTGGGGGGGGGGGGGTATCGGTTGAACCGAAGAGTATGGAGTTCCATTTGTGCCAAAAATATGGTTTTGCCCCTTAGTCCATGTTCTTAAACCTTGTGTTGACACATAACATTGTTTTGTCTATACAACTAAACAAATGTTCCAAAACCATGTTTATAAGTCATTCACTTAGTCTTCACGTCATGTTGTTAGACCAGAGGTTCTCAAACTGGGGACCCAGGACCCTCAGGGGTCCGCGAGACGTTTTTTTGGGGGTCCTCAAAATATTTCAATAAATTGTTAATTTGGTTTTTATTTTTGAAAAATGCACATGGGGAATAATGCACTAGTAAAACAAACATACCAAACCAAACAAAAAATAATATTACCATGGCATTTAGAGGTTAAAATAACAGTAAATTATTTTTGCATTATACAGCATGGGGTTTATGAGGGGGTCCCTGGAAATGTTTCACCTTTGTAAGGGGTCCCTAGTCCCAAAACATTTGAGAGCCCCTGTGTTAGACTATGTTGTTGAATATGTTGCCATTTTACACGTAGTGTTACCTGCATTATGTAACAATACAGTTACATAATACAGTTATTAGACAAACAAAGAGGCTTCATCTGTGTGTAAAGTAGAATCAGCASAGTATGATTTTGTAAATGTAGCATAATTCTGCTTGTTTATGTATTTATTATTATATGGAACCTGTTTGTGTTTTCAGGCTTGGTCCAAATTGCCAGCTGCCTTGGAGTCCGGCTTCTGCCWCCGAGGAAGAAGATTATTGTGATGATAATGGGTAACCACTCTGCAGGAAAGAGCTCCTTCATTAACTGGTAACGCATCTTTKTTCATCAGTGTGTGTCCAAAATATAACCTCGCCACTTACCTTCTAAAAAGCTTATTCTTTTTATTTTATTTTTGTATTAATCTTAAGWATTTAAAATGTTACATTTTATTTATAGAGTTCAAATAGAAAAGTTCAACCAACAAATAATCTAGTTTTAAATTCTCCTTAATATAATCAAATCCAAAATACAAACTTTTAATGTTTACTGCAGACGATCAGTGATGTTTGTTACTCCAGTAAAGATATAACCACTTTAATGCTGATTGTTTGATTTAATCCATACAGGGTTTTTTTTTTAAACATGACCTTTATTTCTTATATCTGCATAATAATTTACGAAGGTGGCACTTGCCCGAACAGCAGTCAGGAAGATCTGTCTGCTAAGCAAAATAATGACGGTCCCTTTTCCTGTTAGATGACAGCTGGTATCAAAAATCAAGTGTTTAAAGCATTGAATACATACGGWCTAAAGCGTTTGGACTAAACACTAWATCATTTTCTGCTACATCCATGCTTCATGTAGGTACGTTGAAGAGCACATTCAAAAAACAGGCGTGGCCATTGAAACCCAGGGCTTTACCTTCATCACCAGTGGACGCAAGAGAGAATCACTGACGGTAAGAACCGGACGATGCGTTTGGTTTCTGAGCAGGTCATTAAAGTTGTTGAAGCAGTGTGGAGAATGTTGTACGGGGGAGAACACCAGCCTCCATCCTATCACTTCCTTTATGCTGCTGTAGTGAAGATGATGAATATAAATAATAAATTTGCAGTGCAGGACTGCAGARTGGTTAAAGCGGTGCGCTCGGCTGCAGCAGAGAAGCTGCTTTTATCCCAAGAGGAAAGAACCAAGAGGAGAACTCTGCTGTAGAGATGAGATTAGAGTTTGTCTCATTTGGTTCTTTTTCTCACGTGAGTTTTGAACTGCTTCACAGGGAAATGCGACTCTGCATCTCTATCCTCACTTTCGACAGCTCCTCGACTTTAAAGGTAGGATGTTTTCCCCTTCATTTATCTGAGAAACGTGGTGACGTTGTTGCAGAGAGAAAAGAACAATGTTCACTCTTTGTTATCCAAGTAATTATTTAAGTTTGTCGAAAAACATTACATATTCATTTAGTGTCTGGATGTAACTCCATGGGGTCAGATAATGGTTTTAATTCCTAATAGTTTAATAAAACATTGTAGAACCAGCTTTACATGCAGATCTGAAGTGAAAATAAACTAAATATGTGTCATTTATTAATTTTATATTACAAAGGATCATTACAGGGTGCACAATGTGAAAAATTAATAAAATTAGTCTCATTGTTTTATTCATCAAGRGAAGTGTATCTGATTGTGCTTTTTGGTGTTTTGGTTACTTTTTTTGTTTCATTAATAAAAAAATCAAAGGATTGAAAAGATGAAAGGGAGTAAAATCCAGGATTAGTTTATATAAGAAAAAAAGAGAAAAATGGCTCTGCAGTCCTTTTACCCGCTCTATTCATGTTAAAAATGTAATGTTTTCTTTTTATAGAAAAATAATTAAAAGCACCGTTTGATCACCATAAATCCTCATTTTTCTGTTTGAAACCTTGAGGGTGTTTTTTTTTCTACTCATCACAAGTCAGTTTGTTTTGTGATTGCACATTTAGTTAGGCTGCGATGACTCAACATAGAACACGCAAGTGTTCATTTCTTTTCTATATAAAACAGAAAAGTGCGAGTGGACACTTTCTGGTCGTAGCACAGCGTCTGGGTGTGTCTGCCGCCTGCCTGAGTGTGTGTGTGTTTATGTGTGTGTGTGTGTGTGTGTGTGTGTGTGTGTGTGTGTGTGTGTGTGTGTGTGTGTGTGT